GCCCATTTTCCAGATCGAATTGGAATGCGCAGAACACATAAACTTAACAGTTTTGTCACCGTTAGTCAAAATACCTTTGTTACAGAGGAAGAGAATTGGTTCCCAAGAAATTAATAGCCTGGCCTCATAGCAAATTCATAAGCAGCTCTTTCAGAAGTTACTAACCGAAAATCGTATTTACATAAAATGTGACTGTCTGCCTATGAATGAGGGGAAAGGAGAGGATGAATAAAAAGGCGGGGGGGTGGGGAAAAGCCGCCTATGGGTTGACATATACACATTACACATAATACAAAAAGGATGTGGTTCTGATACACTTATTCAGGTGACAAACACATACTTTGGAATTTAATTTTGATATTTTTCTAAATGGGATCCCATATCACCCAATCTGTGAGCCTTAGCACTTGCTGCAAGGTACAACATTCATGCTTAATACTGAAAAGAGAAGGGAAAAGATTTTTTCTTTCAAAATATAATGAGAGAGAGAATTAAATGCAAGATGCAAGAGTTAATTAAGCTTTGCAAGCCTGAATAACAGTATTGTTCATGTTCTATTACAAATGACATTTCAGGACATGGATGTAAAATTAACTCACAAGCTGGTCAGAAGTGAGTCGAAGTGTTTTCTTGTAGCTGATTCCAGACAATAATGAGAGATGACTGGAGCTGGTTTGTAATGACCCAAGGTTTTGTTTGGCAGCTCTAGGGTCTTCATCGCTTGAAGAAGATTCATCTTTTATTCTGGAACATTGCACACACAGAAAATGATGCTATCATGTCAGTAAATGCATCTCAGTATCCATTAAAAATGCATTAACAGTGAGTCACCAAATAAGTCATTGATTCTCTGTTCCTAAGTACTGTCTCACAGGAGGTCATTCACATCATGGCTTTAAATATATCAATGAAGTGTTGAATTTTCATTCACACGTGTTCCCCATTATTCATACTTGGATTGTTCTAGCCATTCACTTATAGATAAGCTAGTTTTCATTACATAAATTTAATGGATGTAGATTAATGTGCCATATTGACTCAAAAATCTCATAGTGGTAAAAAAAAAAATACCCATTAGATACTCCAACTACAAAAATTCCTCAGTTCTCAGATGAAGAAAGAGGAGTTTGTTACAATGGCTTTCTTTTCCCCGCTTTTCCCCTCTCCCCCAAAGAATTTATCAATTAATTAAAAAAAAAAAAATCCAGGTGATGGAAATTTTATTATAGAAAGTAACTGTTCCTTCTCTTTCAATGAAGAACTTTAGATCGCTGGATTATTCGTTTCCAGGATTTCCAGGATTACCCCATTCAGGATATGATGATGAAAAGTCATAAAACCTGACCTCCTTTACCCAATTCTGTTTAAATACACATCAGTGTAATTTTTTTTTTTTCCTGCTACAACCATTTTTTCAGAAATTTGTTAAGGATATTTTTCTTAAGGGAAAAAGTTTTCCTAACGGTAAACAAACCTACCACCTTGGGTGGAAGGTAGATCATAGAATCATAGAACCACAGAATCATTTAGGTTGGAAAATACCTTTAAGATCATCCAGTCCAACCATTAACCTAACACTACCAAGTCCACCACTAAACCAATTAAGGGTAGAGTAATAATTTCAAGTTTCCTGGCTTGGTGGCTGGATTATTTTTTAATGAAAGTAAAAACTAGGAATCATTAAGATTGGAAAGGATCTCTAAGATCACCAATCCAATCATCAACCCAACACCACCATGTCCATGTAAAATGTCCTTTCAGATCCCACAAATCTCATCAGCATTTGGGCTCTTTTTTCAGTCACACCTGGATGTTGTTTGATGTTAGGAAGTCTTGACCCAAGATCAAGGTACCGCATGTCATGACTAGCAACATTTACAAGCCTATCTTATCCTCTGTAACATCGGATCTTAAAAGCTTTACTCAGCATCCCACTTGTCGCATTCTGCTTGCAAGCAATAAATTCTTAATTGCAGATTTCTAAGGTCAGTTAAAGTTTAAACAAAGAACACCAATTACAGAATCTAGTCTGCTTGAAGTCTTAATCCCATGTTTAAGCTTATCTTTAAACAACCGTGTAAGAAACAACAGACCTAAATGTCACCTGTCAACCTTAAAAGGAAAATCAGCCTTTCCGATTTATTCTGTGGCTCTCACAAACTCAGAGAGGCAACTGAGATAACAGCCAGTCTCCTACAGAATGAGGAATCCTCCCTTCCAGCACATTCTCCTGGACTGCAACTGCTGATCTCCAGAAAGAATGAAAGTTAATGCCTTTTTGTTTCATAAATGTAATCCTTGAACTTAATGAGCGTAAAGCATATTTAAATCTGGACCTTTTCAGCTCTAAGTGCAGACAGCACACAGACAGGCTGACTTTACAGTAAGATCTGTATGTACAGCAAAGGGGCAAGGTAGGAGAGTTGTTCCTGACTAGCTCATCCCTCCAAAGCCTCCAAAGCAAGTTAAAGCTCATCTTATGGAACCCTTCTGAAGGGGAGATTCTGGGATTCTGGCCATACAGTATGATTTGTTTGGAGCACAAGAAGGAAGAGACTTCTGCAATCCTTGAGAGAATTAATAGAAAACCATGACTACTGACTGTGAAAAAAACTCTGGAAAGTCTTAGGCCCCCGAACTTCCCAAAATATGCAGGAACAAATTAAGTTGTCAGGCCATAAATACAAGTAAATCAGAAATTTTAGCAACTGGGATCTGACAACAGTATGGAGTCATCTATGATGTTCACTTGAAAATTCTAGAGATCTTTCTAGCTTCGGAGAACTGCTCCAATTATTGTTTGTTTTCAAGGGGCTGGAATGCGTGTCACAAAGCTGCCAGCCAAACCACAGAAATGCCAGAGTGTGCTTGCAAGGTCTGCAACCCTGCCATGGGTAGGGCCTTCTTATCTGCACTTATTTGGTGCAATGAATAACAAATTAAATATATTTCACTGATGCAGTACTCTTTGTTCAAATGTAACAGGTAGCTTGCTTTCATTTTTAAATGGTAACTCCTGCTTATTTCAGGTACAGATAATTTTTGGGGTACCTGTTGGCCATACTCATCTGTGAAGAGTCTTCTCCTGTAAGTCCACTCCCACTCATACCTTGCTCTGGCTTCGTTTCCTGTAAAAATACAAGTATGAGAAGCTGTGCATCTCCTGTTGGGCAGAGAGCAAAAAGTTTTAGAAAAATATTTGAAAACCAAATTCTGCCTTATAATGACTTAGTAAAAATCAACAGTATGTTTGCTTCCTTTACTTGTAGGCAAAGTAAAACTTCATGGTTTTCTTAAAGAATAAAGGCTGAACAAAGAGGTACAAATTGCAAATATAAAACTCAGAAGAAGAATTAAGATTCAGTTTTGCATGGAAGTACAGAAATATCAGATTTCACATCTAGTACTGTTGAGGTTCCAAGATCAATCCCATAACTACTCAATTCATGCACCTCAAATAGCTAGATTCCACCTGAAAAAGCAAAAAGTAAGGCTCTGGAAAAAGAAAAAAAAAGTTACCTTTCACAGAATCATTAAAATCTTTAATCCAATAAAACTTTCCAAACTGCTTTTACCTTGAGTAGATGCTAACGTCTATCAATTTCATCCCACAAGATTTTTAAATAGTGAATGATTTTATGAGACACACAAACAACAATAACACCTCCCCTTATCCATTTACAGCTGCCACAGCTCAAGAGATAACCAAATACTTCCACTCAGAGAGAAATTCTAAAAACTTCAACAAACTGTAAAAACTTTGTGCTCTGAAGCCCATACTCACAGATCAGTACAATGGTTATTTCATGCAAGGCTAAAAAAGTTCATCGACTGAGGCACAACCATAAAAATGTATTAGAAATCATTTTCTTCCCTCAAGTACTAATGCTTCAGTAGTATAAATTAATATGAAGAGGTTTTAGTAGCCAACTTTAAAGATTAAATGTCTAGACAGGAGATCAATATTTCATATAAAGTTTTGCTTTTTTCACTGTTCTCTAATGTTCATCCATGGTTTTAAGACTGTTACCACAAACTTTTAATGCTCAGAAAAGAAATTCAAAAAGATTTTAAAATTAATATATAGTCAGTTTTCCATCTTAGGTTTTGCTGAATTTTACAGCTTACACTACTCATAAATACGTCTGGTTTTCAACCAGCAAAAGAAAGCTGCAGAAAGGTAGGTAATCTGCACAAAAACATCAAATTAGTGGCACAGCTCTTTGATTCTAGGTTCCCTAACACAAATTTAATCCATTAAATAATACTGCTTCAGGTTTGTGTAATGAAAATAAATGCAGAACCAAAACACTGCAGGCAAATGTTTCAGGTAGGGTCTGATCCAAAGCCTTCTGAAGTCAAAAGAAGTCAGACTTTAGACCCTGTTTGAACATCTTTTAATGTGTATATCCTCAGTCAAATTGAATATTGAGTTATTCTCAGAAGTGAAGTTCTGAAGGACGAATATGGAGGTAATGCAGCCTTCCCACTGCAACCAGAAGGAAATTCTGCTTGCTTCTGGAACTTACCTCTTTAATAGTGCTGTTCCTCCCTCGCCATGAAAACCACCACCTTCCACCTTTTTTGGGCATCTTGTCCCTCATTATAGATTCCACAGTGGCCTGTGATAAATGGATGGTAACATAAAAAAAACCCAAAACAAAAGGACAACCTGATATATGTAAATGAAGGAAAGTGCCAAACACACAATTTTAACTGATAATAAATAGAATAAAAATAAACATACTGTCTGCGGACCATAAATTCTACTAAAGCAAAATCTAATGGTATCCAGAGCTGCTCTGAAGTAACTTAAGCATGAATACTTATGGTATTTTTAAAAGGAAAATGAAAAAGAGATAAAATCAAAGAAGAAAAAAAAAGCATAAATAGATATTAGTATAATGTCTGGAATGGAGGACCTACTGTTTTTAAGTTGAAGTTACTTAGTGCAAATTATATTAAAAAAAAGAAAAATATCACTTCCTGAAGGAGCTCACATGCAAAACAGTAGCAAACCCACATGCAAGATGGTTATTCTCACTTGAAAATAACTACAAAGTTCATATTTAATCACCAGTTTGGAAAAAAGCAAAGTTACTAGCTTTTATGAGTTTAGTATGACACTATAAATTTGACTGACAATGTTAGAATTGTTTTTTTTAAACCCTGTCTAGTTTTCATTGATTATATATACAAGACCTCAGTACAGAAAAGTTTCTTTCAATACCAGTAATGACTGGAGCCTTACACATTGTAACAAGGAGCCATCAGAGAGCAAGCAAAAGACTAAAGGGGAAAATATTACAGTAAAGGTGGCCACAGTGTTTGATACACCTTAGAATAGCTTAGCCACTGGCTTTCTGAGATGATAGCCTCCACTGTAAGCAAAGTCACCAAAATAAAACTGTGGCATTGATTAGTGATTAAAAATAAATAAATAAATAAATAAAAATCAGTGATTCCAAGACCTCTCAGCCTTTAAGAGAGAGGGCTGAGTTCAGCTACTGTATGGGAAAATGCATCCCTTTTCTTGGTTTTCCATAGGTTCTCTTCACTATACTACCTAAAGTATGTAAGAAAGAAATGACAGAGGAATAAAGTTGAGGAAAATGAGAACTTTTTAAACAAAAATAACAAAAACAAGGAGCACATGGAGCTACTGGGAATGGAATGCTACTGTTGAGAACAATGGCTACAATTTAAGGAGGTTCTCAAACATATGGACAACATCAAGCAGATGTCCTATTGACTTTTAGTGAGATAATTCACATGCTAACAATTAGACATGTGGTTAAGTGTATTTTGCAGAACATGAGTGATTTTTTTGCAAAAACTCCAGTTTTCAATCATTTCATAAAGCCTGTTTTGATAAAGTATCTTAGTATTTCAATTCCTTAGTTCCATTATTACAGCAAGTCAAAACTCTAATTAACAAGTCATTAAGAAAACCAGGAGGATGACTGGTAGAATAAATGAGTAGTTCTAGTTTCAGAGGTACAGTTCAGCCAAGCAAACCTTCCCAATCATACAGACTGTTCCAACTATGTATACTGGCTTCTCCACTAAATTAAAGCTGCACTATAGAAAGTTATCAGCACTCAGATTATAAGTTAACTATTAAAAAAAAAATTAATACACTGAATTTCACACTCTCAGAAGATTTTTCTTAGCCGATAACCTATATGAATAATGGTATAACCATAGAATCATAGAATTGTTTAGGTTGGAAAAGACCTTTAAGATCATCCAGTCCAACCATTAACCATAATGCTGTTGAAAGAATTGCCATTTCCCTTAAATTAACAGCAAAAATATTTCATACCAATTTCTTCCATTTACCCATCCTAGGCAAAACCCAAAACATCCAGTTCGGGTATCAAAGCGCTTAATTAAAAATGTAGTTACCTTGCATTATCTTTACTGCCACTGAAGACCCAACAGGCACCTAGCAAGGTCTGAATCACTCAGTGCAATTGCCAAACAAATACAGAGTAGGATAACTATACACCTTCTGCAGGCATCTGAGTTCCATGGGATGAATCCCACCTCTGATAATTACTAGACTATTTGCAGTAAAGCACAAAATGTCTGGCTCTGTGACATCCTTGAAATTCAAGCCAGGTTTACCAGATGCTTGGGACTTTTAAGATCAATTTACTTTATATTGGAATGCCACAGTGCAGGTATGCATGACTGCATATATAGGTAATGTGGCACTAAGTAAGAACACAGTGGTAGGGAGTATTCTGGGCTTTGAAGAAATTTTTATTCCACGTTCATGGTAATAGAAATAGCATTTGAATTCACATAGATTAAACCCAAAGACATGTGAAGGGCTGCAAATGGTAGAAGGAAAGTTTAGGTTCCAAAATATATTAAATCCATGGCTAAGTAGGATACAAAATAGTGCCAATGGTGATACTACTTTATATACACTTACAGTAGTGTGTATTTCTGTCCTGAGCATCTATGTGGCATCAGGTCACGTGGAATTGGACTAAGTTCATCAACGCATTTAACATAAGCCAACATATATAGCTGTCACATAGCCATAGCTATCTGCCACTACCTACCTGGGTTGGTTATGAAAAACCAACTGAGAAATAGAAAACCAGCAAGCGACAGGCCTTCCTTATCTAGTAGTTAAAGCTTACTCACTGAGGTTAAAATTCATGGCCTCTATTTTTATTTGATAATATATGCTGTATACAGATAAAACGGAAAGCAGTCACCAAGTATTCAGCTATAGCACACACTAACATGGGTCAATATAATTTATGTTTACAATCTATATTAATGAAGGAAAACAGGAAGTTTTCCTTCTTCAAAATACTTGTAATGATCTTAGCCTAGCAAATAAACACTAATCACAGACCAAAAATTTAGTCCTGTTTATTTAGCCCTTAGCATAAGCTAGATGAACGGTTATGTGTGGATAGATATCATTGATGAGCAGATTCACTTATACAATAACCCTCTTCCCTGCTTTAATAAATGACAGAACTTCACAGCTCCTCCTCTGACCAACCTGCATGTTCAATCTCACCTTTGGCAAAGGTTTCTGGAACGCCTGCATTGCCAGCAGAAGGGGACCAGCTGTCGTCCAGTTGTAGTACCTGGGCATGCAAGAGAGTAGACTACTGCATTTTGTAAACCCAAGGTTCCAATTCACAATCTACCTAGTATTTATCATCTGGCAGGTTAAAGCCATGTAGCCTTTTTAGCACAAGTCAAACTCTGGCCTGCATCACTAACAGCAGACCCACCTTATTCTACAGTATGTTCACAGGTATTTACAGCATATACTTTTCAAGGCATGCAAGAGAAGCTAGGTCCTTAAGTAGTAAGGGTATTTGTCATACATTCCTCATGTCCTTACTATACCTCATTATCACAGCATGAGCTACATTTTTTACAAGTCATTTTCACTGTTTTTCCATCAAGGAACTACATAAAAGTTAGGGGTCATAGTCTGTAGGATGTCAAGCTTTTGCTATTATGTGCTGAACATGGGTTAACTCTTGTTACAGACAGTAGAACAAATACAGTATTATCATCCGTCACATGACATCCAGAGAATATGACAGTAAGATCCTCACGAAATATTCCTCTCTTCCCAACATATCAGTAGACAGGTAAACACTACCATCAAATTCAGAGAACTATGGCAGGGAAGCAGTAAGTGACTCATCTCAGACCACAGAGAGGGTCAGGTATGAGGCTGTAACATACGTGATACAAACTATCGCATAAGGATGCACCAGGCATGTCAGATTTGTGTGAGCGATGTCTATGACTAAGGGTAGCCTAACCTCTAAGTGCAGCACAACGCCATGATCTCTCCTCTACTCTGTAACATTGTGTGCCAGGTGCAAGAAGCTCTCAAGTTAAAACATCCTCCGAAAAGCTGCATCTGGCATACACCATAGTTCTGCACTGCTGCCAGCCATATAAACATACGAAATAATGTCTTAGCCTTGCAGAAATAGAAGTCTCATACTCAGTGGGTGAAGTTTGACAAGTCTTGAAAAGCAATGCCTCCATAAAGGCATATTAGCAAAACATTCAGTATATACAGACAAACTGCTGGGTACAGAGTGCTTGCAAGAAGACTGCCATATCCCTGTAAATATTAATTATTCAAACTGGGTCAGGGCAAGCCTTAGCAAGTTCACATCCTATTTCATTTTCACTCTGCCAACTGAGCGTGAACACTATTAGCATTTAATACTAGCTTCTTGAAATTCAAATTGTGTCAGTTAGCTGTAACAGGTCACCTGAAACTGCTCTTTACTTTCAATTTAAAGGAGGAAAGGTAACTAGAAGAGCGTGAATTCCCTGGAGAGTTGACTCTTTCTTGATAAATCTAAGCTATAAACATTCAAAACCTATTTTTCAGCTATGGTTAAACTGCTCTAACACGCTGAAGTGCCACAGAAGTGTTTTTGTTACAACAGCAAAATATTTTTTTCCTGAAATATACTTACTTATTTCCAATCTTAACCACAAGGTTAGGGTCATCAATGATAGCAGGATTGTCCACAAACTGCTGATATGTTACTGCATGTTCTAAGAATTCTTCTGTGGGGGGGGAAAAATTACATCTGTAAAGCATGCATTTATAGATGTCTGAGATGGGCCAACCTAAACCCCTTCACATCTCTCAGACACACAGGTTTCCCACTCAGGATCAGCCCTTCATTACTAGGGTGCTAAGATTAGTGGTAATATGTAAGCAAGATGTTCAGAGACTCTCAATCTTGGAAGATGCTGAGGGTTTCTTTGTTAGCTGCTGGGTGTCCTTCCTGTTCAAAATACAAGCTAAGTGAAAACTCAGGGATGGAACTGTGAGGGAGGAGAATCAGGCTTCTAAACAAGGCAAGAAGTACTTTGTCATGCCTTTCACTGATCCTCTGTCCACGTTAGGAGCAGGAACTGATGGGCTCAACATATATGTAAACCCACAGCCAGAAACTTAATGATCACTTGTAAGGCATATAGCAAGGTGAAAATGTCTATGAATAAATACCCCTTCCACTAGCTGTGACTCCTTTCACAAAATCTATGCAATTCACAAGTGGTTCAGATAACAACACAACTCCAGTAAATCACAGTATATTTGAAATGTTCTAATAACTAGCTTCTGAACAGCTATCAGGCTCATATGATTTTATGACGCCATATTACTGCAGAAAGTGCAAGTCTTAACGCATTTATCTTCATATTATGCAGATGGATGTTTAAGGCACAGAGCATGGTAAATGATTTATCTAAAAGTCACACAAGAAACTGGAGGTAGAGCAGGAACTCAGGTCAAAGTTTCCAACTCCCCCTCCTAGGGTCCCCATTTACAAACCACCTTTTTCATTCCTGACACCAACAGCCATGAACTTCCTAACTATATACTGTACCAAGGGGCAAAAGTACCATTAACACTATTGTGATACGAAACATAGTACTATCAGGAAATAAAAATACCAATAAAATACTTTCAAAAAAATTAATATTGAGTGGATTATTAAAATGTGTTAAAAATCATAAGTCCTATATAAGTCTACTATTTTAAGTATGAAAAATTCTAGGAAACTTATCATTACAGGGACAGTATCTTCTCAACACATTCCTGAGTACAGCCACAGGAGGGCACTGCTTCCTCAGTCTAGCATGCTAAAACTTCACTGACAGCACATGCTTGTAATTCAGAAAGTCATTCTGTACCTTTGGTTATTTCTTTATTGTCAGTAAGGCCTCCGCAGAGAGAAATGGCAATGGAGGGTAAATCTCGAATTCCATCCGAGGTGCTTTCAACTCCACTGTCAACACCTGAGCTCCCGACAGACTGTGGAGACTGGCTGGCAGACCACGGCCCCGTGTCATTCGTGTTCTTGCTTTGGACGTTATCCCCACTGGAAAAGAAAAATCAGTAATTCAGTCTTCATGTATTCATTCCCAAATTCTCTCCCTTCAACAAGCACCATTTACATCTGACACACACTTAGGAAAAAAGAAAGGGGGTTGGAGGGGAGACATTTGCTTGATTTTGCCGTAAAATTTAAACAAAGTGGTATAGCCCTCATGTACCCAAAAATATTAGATTGCTTCTACTTTCTTGCCTAAACTAGGCATGTATAATTATAGCTTCACTTATTTACAAGAGAAAAGAAACATACGACAATAAACTGTACAATCTTAGCAGACAAAACAATGCTACTATAAGTAGAGTTTATACTAGTAGAACTATCCCCACACAGGAACAATAAACATTAGTTTATTATTTAATTTCTATTAATTATATAAACTGATAGCTAAACCCAAAGCAAAGGATGTGTATGTTTGTGTGTTTATATGTCATGTACATATAAATAAAATAAACTACTAGGAATAAAATTTTAAGAAACAATAAATCATTATATCCACTTAAAACTGTGTAGAGTTGAGATGGTTATTACAAAGTGCAGGATCATCAAACTCTGCTTTCCATTCCAGATTTATATGAATGCATTTGAGAAAGGAATTTTCAACCCAAGTTTTTTCTCCATATTATTAATCTGTCTCAGTTTTATTGAAATACTAATATTACAACAGCTGAGTTTAAGCAAGCAAGAAAGAAGAATAAAATATGCAGGCTACTTTAGTTGTTGCTCAATGGCTTTAGCCAAATAACTAGAGTATGATGTGGAAAGAGGACTATAAATGTTATAAAAGGCTCTAATAAAGATCAGAACAAGTTGGAAATTTTATGTTCAGGGTGCAATATTTTCATAAATAAATTGGTCATGTGTCTTCCAAAAATTATTTTCTAACATTCCTATTTATAGGTGATCACCCACAGTAGAACAACGTTAGAGCACTAATTTTGTGCTAATAGTGTTAACAGTAAGATATGTTCTTCACGGTAATAAGCAAGGACATGGGGATAAATATATCCCAAGGCCAACTGCTCTCCCAGGGCATGTGAGTAACACTCACAAACATCAGTGTACATTACATAACAATCCACAACCAATACGTGATGCTTATTTGACCAAAATAGACAATCAGTTTCAAGCACACTTCCCAGGCCCAAATACAGAGCCTTCCAAAAGCTCTAATATTCCTCTCTACAGTTTTATTTTCCTTTTGCCTTCACCTCTGCTTGTACTCTGAAAAAGAGGTCTTATCTGGTTGGCAATGAAGAGTTTGATCTAAATCTGGAAAATAACAAGAGCTCTTTAAATAGGAAAAATATAAGAAAGGACTTATACTTCTTGGGGAAATAAAGTGCAGCAACTTCTGGATCCATGTCAGTGAGGTCATCTAAATAGACACCATCAGCACCAAGATGCCGGCTTCGTTTGTCTGTAAGGGATGGCACAAATAAGCCTATTAATGAGCATTTTCTGAGTAACAAGCCAAGTTATTACTGTTTAACTATTCATTTTAAGATTGAGAAACCAGACACGTTATAACAGTTTCTGAACTGTATTTGTACAAATTGGTACCGCCAAAAACTTCAAAACAAGTTGTTCATATACACGGTTGGGACTTTAAATACACAAAATGGGACAGCAGAGGACTAGTTTTGAGATATACTGAAGCCTCCCTATCCCAGACAAAACCACTGGAAATTAGAAGTCAGTGGTCACTATAGGAAAACAGCAAAACGAAAACTTTCTGAGTATTTGCATAGGCCTATTGTCACAGTAAGGCAATCTCCGAGATTTATTTTATTATTTTATTTAATCTCCGAGAACTAATCTTCAGTGCCCCCTTGCAAAAGGGAAATAACACAACAGACTACACTATAGTCACTGATACACTGTAACTGGCTTGTTATGGAGACAACTCACTGTTTAGCACATACAACTGATGTGCTGTGTGTGCACATGGACCACTGCAGGGGACAAGCAACCCTCCCAGGTCTTTCACTAGTATCAACACAGAGTCATCGGCTGTCCTGTTGTTACTGGTACATCTAGACAAGTAACCACTGTAAGGCCAAAACCTAATTTGGAATTCATTCTAAAACCCACGACTTCTCACTGTCCCAGTTTCCAACATCAAACACCAGAAAAGCAATCGGAAACAAAAAGTTATGTAAAGACTGAATAGCAAGCAGAGTAACGCAGCCATTTTTTGTCTTCAAGATAGTGGAATGCATGGGTAAGTGGCTAAGAAACTTGTATGTTTACTGATTAAAAAGCAGCTGCACAAACTAGGCTTATATAGTGCTTACATAATTATAGAATAATCAGAGCTCTAAAACAGAGCCTTTGTAAGCAAATAAATTTCATGTGAAGATCGTAACACTTATTATAAAATACCATGAGCCCAGAAATTAAGAAGCAGAAAAGGAGACGGAGTTATATTTCACAAATTCAAGACAGGACACGTACCACACAACTGAAATTGCTCATGTGAAACAAAAGCACCTTATTTTATGGCAAATCTGTTGTTTGTGCAAAAGACGTACTACAACTTTGTACTAGAGCAGAGAGGTTCCACAATTACCAGGGACACATAACAACTCAGAAACTACTCAGAGCAGGTGAACCAGCAGATCTACAGTGTGCTTGTACCAAAAAGCGAAATCTCTGAATCTGTCAAATATGGATGAATTTGGAGCAAGTTTTGCAGTCTTGCTCATACGCAGAGCTGCCAAAAATCCCAGACCAAGCAGAATCTTCTATCTTACTACATGGCTCCTATGAACAGCCTGCTGCACAGCTCAGATTCTGAAGGTTCTTTCCAAAGCTTATTTCTTTCCAGATCTGAAAGTGCCTTCAGGGCACAGATTAATTTATATGACAATGAGGCGCTTTATCACCATGAAATTTAAAGACAAAATCATACACATAAAAGCACAGAATCAACAGCTTTACCTTTTTTTCTGGAAGGGGAATCTGTCTTGCCAGCTGGTTGGGCTGAGCAAGCTGCAGCTTGTTTTATTTCTTCATTGGCAGGCAATGGTGGTACAGCTGCTCCTGGAGACTCTGTCTCTGGCTTATTTGTCTCAGCTGGTAAGGGCTCACTTTCATCAGCAGTTACTGCATCTGCTTGTCCAAGGGCAGGCAGAGGAGACATGGTGCTAAACTCCTCTATAGGAGAACTCTGGATGACCCGAAAGTGAGTGCTTTCAGAAGGATTTACATCCACCATGCTGGGTTCCTTTGCTTTGAGCAGAGAACTGGCCTGTGAGAAAAAACAAACAGATTGCTATAAAAAAAACCTCTTAAAAAAATGCAACAGCCAGAGTTTAACCTGTTCTGTTCACCCCAGTGAGATCAGATTCTCAAGGTAACCAACTACAGCAGAAAGCCACCGCTAACTGAGGTGGAGACTACAGTATACAAAAGACCTCTCTGCTGTGTGTTTGCTTGCGCAAAACTCATCTGTATCTTGGAGCCAGGAAAGATTTGTTCTGCAGTGTGCTCTACAGTCTTCATTTCCCACTCACCTGCCTGGGAACAAGTCACAGCTCCCACCCTGCCCTCCCCCCTTCCTGTGCAAATCATAGCTTTTCTTCAGAAGGTAACCCCAACAAACACGAGAAGGGAGCACAGACTGGAGTCCTTACACAATCAGGATGCTCTCAGGTACCAGGACACGGGTACACTGTCATTCATCTATACCACAGATGTAGATTTTAAATCACTTTATAGGAACAATTCTAGATCTTCTCTGAGTGTGGGACAGGAGGTATTCTTGCAGAGGGGAGCTGAACTTCTACAGCAGGAGCTGTATAGCTGCTATAGCTACTTCACATCATAGCAAACAAACTCTTCCATGAAGATCAACAGCATCCAAAACATAACCCCCAGTGCAGGTATGACCAGATCAACTCTGAACAGCTTGGCTAGGGACACAGACAGGGACTGCAGAGGGAAAAGCCTCCAGGAATAAGATTTGCAACACCACACCAGGCTGTGTGACTGGGATAAAATGCCCAAATCTACTGTCAGGAAACTCTAAATTTTAGATAGGAAATGCAAATTTGAAACTCCTGCCTGGACCTATGCACTTAAATCAGTTCTCTATGTACAGAAAATAACTCCCAATTTTCATGTAATATACACGAGGAGGAAAATAATGCAGAGGTGATGGGACAGCTCATCTTTGGCCTACTAAAGAAGAGGCCAGAGCTCTTCTGAAGGAATTAAGAATTCTGGATTCCCATCCCTGCTTTTGTCACCAGCTACCAACAGTGAATTAAAGATAAATCATAATAGTGCCACTATAATTCTGGTGCCACCACCAGAATGCAGAAGTATTCTTTCTGAGGAGGATACCCACCTCCCTGGCCTGTAAAGCAGGAATTTTGCTTCTTTATACTGTTCCTGACCCTATCACTCCTGCAGTCCTTTCTGCAGAGAAGCCAACCTTCAGCAGAAGGGGCCAAACCCTGCACCATTCCTTGCCCCCATAGTTGCAGTATGCCACTGGAATCTGACCTTTATTTCTCACACCCTGAGGCAGGCATAAGCCCTAAGTCTCCCCTTTTCTGTATGAATGCTCTGACTCCACAGCTATCATAAGGAGCCACCGAGAACCTGACTGACCTGCAGCGTACTGAGCTGCACATGGCTACTGTGCAGCACGGGAGGCGACGCTGCTGGCACACCACTGATCCTGCCATCTAACTGGGCCAAATGGCTTCAGGCAGGAGACAGGCACCAAGCCAGTTAGCTCAGCCAAGAGAGCAGCACGTCTGGGCATGCAGAGATACAGAACCGCAGGTGTTTCTGCATGCTTATGTATTCAAGCAACTGATCTTAATTTTTGTGAATCACACTGTTAACACCAAGCACCTAATTTCCATCTAAGACCGTTTATAAATTTCAAGGATTTACCAAAGGACATTGGGTTTGATTTTATATGTCATTTAAACTTCTAACTTTTACAAGACTAGGTCTCAGGTACTTCCTCATTTTCTACTGTATGTCATCAGTGTTGAGAATATCCATGGCACAAGGTACTTTCCTGTGCCCCCTAAGGAGCAAGATGCAATTCTTGCAATTTTGTGTAAAAACAGGATCCATTCCCTCCTTCAGGTGAATGGAGTTAAATCCAGTTGGCGGCCGGTCACAAGCGGTGTTCCCCAGGGCTCTGTTTTGGGGCCAGTCTTGTTTAATGTCTTTAGCAATGATCTGGATGAGGGGATTGAGTGCACCCTCAGGAAGTTTGCGGACAACACCAAACTGGGTGGGAGTGTTGATCTGCTGGAGGGTAGGATGGCCCTGCAGAGAGACCTCGACAGGCTGGATCGATGGGCCAAGGCCAGTTGTATGAGGTTCAGCAAGGCCAAGTGCCAGGTCCTGCACTTGGGTCACAACAACCCCATGCAACACTACAGGCTTGGGGAAGAGTGGCTGGAAAGCTGCCTGACCAAAAAGGACCTGGGGGTGTTGGTTGACAGCCGGCTGAACATGAGCCAGCAGTGTGCCCAGGTGGCCAAGAAGGCCAACCGCATCCTGGCTTGTATCAGGAATAGCGTGGCCAGGAGGAGCAGGGAAGTGATTGTGCCCCCGTACTCAGCACTGGTGAGGCCGCACCTGGAATACTG